GGGTCGCATGGTCTCATCGACGAGACCGGACCTTTGATTTGAAGAACTTTAATCGGACAAGGGTCCACGCACGGTGTCCTCGAGCAGGACGTAATCTCGTTTACGGCGTATTACGATTCGATCGATGCCCGATTGTGCCCGTTGAAGGTAAACGTCGCTTTCAGCTGCTCTCGGCCGTATGCCTCAATTAAAAGCGAGAGAGACCTTCTGGAATCCCGATTATAGCCCATTATAGAATAGCGCTTATCGAGGACTCCTGGAGAATTCTCTTTGTCGACCGACACTACTGCATTGACGTATTGTATCACGAGAAATACAGTTATAATCCTTGTTAAGCAAAATGTTCATCCTTTTGTAACTTTGAAACTGCTAGAGCTTGTAATTCAATGGGATGACAAAGAAGAGATTTATATATGAATACTTATTTTTTAAATAAAAACAATCAAAAATCAATAATGTTTGAAGTATTGAAATTGTTACAGAGTTTTTCACACATAATACAATTAAGTAGAGACATACATATACATATATATCTAATTCGCGATTTTTGAACGGATTTTTTATCTTGTTCACACATTCCTATAACTGGTGCTACTAAAAGATTAAAAAGTACATAGGGGAATCGTCCAAAAATGTAGAAAAGAGATTCCAAAAATACTATCCGCTCGAGGGAATGCCAATCCGATTTTATCGAACCTCGATGTCCGATGCGAGAGAGTAGAGTCCCAAACTGCAGGTTAAAAAGCGTTTACCGGCAATTCCGTGACGATACGATTGGTATTTCCGATTCCCTTCGAAAGTCAACAAAAGAACGCAGTCTTTCGTCTACCGAGCAAATGGAATGAAACGAACGGGTTGGAATAGGATCGCGCAAATTGTGGTAGATATTACTGTAGTTTGCTGGACTCGCGATTGAAACAAGTCGCTTTCTCTGCGCTTTTTTGTTGCACTGTAATGATATTTCTACAAAGGCACCTCTGTAATACTTCAGATGACCCTTGTCACGACGCTGACTCGTTGACTACTTTTGAGACTTGTCCCAAATTCTAACGGAAATTAACAAGCACAAGCGCCGATCTCTCACGTCAGTACTTAGCGAACTAATTATGTCGATGAAGTTTCACGAACCTGAATCGAGCGTCCTTCGCAAAGATTTTCGCAGCGCAACTAAATTTGTTTCCCATCGAAAAATGGTCTCATTTCGAAGCATTTCAGAGAAAGATGAATTTATCTATATTGTATTGGGTCAGTTATTTATGGAAGCTTCTTAATTCTGGGTCATTTGCAACATTTATGATAACTAATTTAGCTTTCTTATTCGCCGCAGATGGCGAATCATTTTCTTCTAAAATATAATATATGCTGTTGTTTTTTCTATTATGTAAATGTAATGAAAATAGATATTCGTTTATCATCGCGAATAAAAATGGTATTTTGTATTATTAATTTTTCGTTGGTTCTATAAAACTTTAATTTTTTGTAAATAATTAATGATTAATAATTGCAAATCTACTTGTTATAAAAAATTGAGTTCAATCTAAGTTTAAAAAAATAATTAGCAAAATAGTTAACGAATGTTTACTTTATTAAAATATATAAAAATAAGTTATTATATCCGAAAATAATAATTCTGCTAATATACTGCTTACTTTTTTTATATGATAATAAAAGTAAAGGATTATAAAAATGTTTCAATCTTAAAAGTAAAGGATTATATAAGTATTTTAATTCCATTCTAAAAAAAAACTACAAATGTACAATTTTAGTATTTACGCTACCATAACTGTAGTGGTAAGTGAAGTGTTTCAACTTCACTTTACGAAACTGTAAATGCAAATTCTAGTTTCTTATACTACTGTGATTAGCACAGTAAGTAAAATAATATCATATTAAAAGTTGAATGACCTCAATTATGTGATCCACAGAGTTGTGCATTCGCGTTCAATCCGCGCGGCGCGTCACAGCTTTGCACGATCAAAATACAGTCTCCAGAAGGAAGATTATCCCTCAGTTCGATGCACGAGCGATGACACGAACGACACCCGGTTTACGATCCATCGATAGGCTTCCTCTGTGCAAAGGAACGTCAGTGAAAACGGGCGTGAAGGGGGTATAAGGATCGACAGGTACATCTACCCTCTCAGGGTTGCGTCTGACGTTGATGACGGCCTTGAAGAGCCTAAACGCTCAGCTAATCACGTAATGGCGCATGACGCGGGCGAAACATGCTGTACCCCAACTCCGGAAAACGTACGTGCTACCATTTTCTAACAAAATTCAGTGAGGTGCCCCCCTTCGATACTAAAGATGCCCTCGGAAAACAAATCTGCTCTCCCGTAAAATCGCAAGAATGTTATGCCTCATGATGGAGACATCACTTAGACCCTTATTTTAAGACCATCTTAAGTAATGTCTTAAGATGCTAACGCGACTCTCTGATTAGTTCATGATATCTTAAGACTGTACTTAAGACAGTCTTAAATATAAAAGTCGACTATGAATACCGACCTTACTATCACGTGGAAATTTCAGTTACAATAATCCTACGACATTTGTGCTAACACGGCTTCTTTTATCACATGTATTTCGGTTAAATAACTATTGAAATTTACATGAGTTACCCGAACAAGAGAAAGAGAAAGGGAAAACGTTCTTTTACATGACAATTCCTATTCTTTTAAACTGTCAAACATGAGATATATTTTACATTCAGCTCTAAGGTAATTAAATTAAACTAAACGTTTCATCCAATTTCAAAATATTTAATATTAAAAGTTATAAAATTGTAAAAATACATGAATTTTTATCAAATAATTGGAGAAAAAAAACGTTTAAAAATGAATAAAATCTTTACATAAACAAAGCTTTTTAAAAAGGTCCAGTATAACTCTTTGAAATAGTAAAAAATATATACTAAAAAGATTAAATAATTGTTCAAATAGCTTTTACAAAAATTGTATGTTGTATTAATAATTGTATTATTACGAATAATAGAATAATCTTGGATTATGTATCACTTGCCCTTCTTTGTAAAATAAAACAAATTGACAAAGCGCAATGCGTGACTTAAGAAATGTATGAAATGTTTCCGTAAAAATTTATGTTTCACATACAGCATACAATTTTCACCATGTATCTATAATAATATTTCATATAAATATCTTATTTATAATTATTTATTTATAATTACGTGAATAATGATCAGGAACTCTTGTAAATGTGAGCAAATTGTATATTCCAGAGAAAAGCAGATAAATAAACAAATATTTGTTAAAAAGCAGAATAATTGATTTTTCTCTTTAAATTTATTCCTTCATGTTTCCTTTTTTCTTTAACATTATTGCATCAAATATATTTTTTATTTTTAATCTTAATTTACACACATAAACGATCAAAATAACGTAAGCGAATATATTTTATATATTGTTACATAATCTATTTGATTTTCGTAAAACATCAATCAGCCAATTAGTGTCGGTTTATTTAATTTCAGTAATATTGAAGTATCATTTATCAAGGTAGCTATCTTAATTGGCTCAAAGGATTTGTTAATCCTCTGATTGAACTACAACCCGTTATTTCTATATTTATAAAATATTTATGTTTCATATTTATGAAAAATATTATAGCTAACAATACACAACTATGATATGTAAAATCGATATATACATGTAATAATATAAGTACAAATGAATTAACTTATTTTAATAATTATAAAAAAAATTTTTATTTTTTACGAGCTTATATACATTTTTTAGTTAAAAAATGTATAAGTTTGAATAAGAAAACTGTATCTGGAATAATAGAACAAAACAGTTTTCAAACTTATTAGTGCAAAGTTCAACTATAAATGTTTTAGTAAAATATTTATTTCAGATTTTGCGAATAAACAATTTTTATTTTATTATGATATAGAACATTACAAATTATATATTTGCAAATTTTGCACTTCAAATAAAAGAGATAAAATATGTACTTCTAATAGCAATATTATTCTTATTTGTTTTATTATGAAGAAGATATTTAAAATTGTCAAGACTTTCAATAATAAAATCCAATAACACATAAAGAACTCTTTATATTTAATTGAATTTGATGCCAGCAATGGTACGATTTAATTAGAAAATTGTGTGTGCAATAGAAAGTAAGAAATTGAAAAAGGGTGAAAGAGTAAACAAGATAAAAATAATAAGCGTACAGCTACAAACGCAGGATGTTTGCAAAGTCATATATTTTTAAATTACTTAATATAAACGTTTCGGTCACTATGTTCAGTACAATTTTCAAATTTCTATATAAGAGTCAATGGTAATAAAATTAACTTTTCGATGTTTCTTCGTTCTTGTTTGCATCTACGATTTCAGCCGTTGTTACATTGAAATTTATAGCTATGTTTTTAATACCGGATTTCCAGATTCTGAACAATGATAGTATAAATTATCAAAATTATTCGATTTACATCATAATTATCATAAAAAATTTACCGGTGTCTTTTTTGAACGGTCATTTTAATTTCTGTATGCAGTATTATAACTGTGGACTCTTTAACCAACGAACGAAGAAACATCGAAAAGTTAGTTTTATTACCATTGACTTATTATGTAGAAATTTTAAAATTGTACTGAAGATGGTCACAGATAGTGATCGAAACGTTTATATTAAGTGATGTAAAAATATATGACTTTGCAAACATCCTGCGTTTGTGGCTGTATGTTCATTATTTTTATGTTGTTTATATCATTAAGCCAGGTTAAATTGTTTATCTTTTAAATTTTAAAAGAGTACAAAGTGGAAATATTTCTTCGCAAAACTAACGTAGCGAAGAAAAATGGAAATTTGGGCCGCGTATATATGCATACATATACTATATCACGTTCTCGCGTTTATCGCGCGCGATACAATCGTTGACCGTCTAGCATCGTACATTCGCTTGACGGTTTTCTACAGAGAGCCATTCCGATGAATCGTAAAACCTTGCAACGTTAACAACGGCTACGTACCTTATAAACATGTATATACCCGTGGGCTCCAATGCCCTGGAGACCGCTTTCCAGCTGGCGATAACCGTAAATTTTTGCCGAGCCGTGAGCGGAAGTCGAGGATCCGTGGCGGCCGGCGGCGGCGGCGGCGGCGATGAGCCATCGTTTCCGGTTTGATTGCGCGATTTCGTGGCGGCCAGTTTGCTAAGTTCGCAGCCCATGTTGCGGCAGCGAGTCCCGGGCGCGACCCCCCGAGTCGCGGAAGACACTAACCGAGGCGACCCACAACGAGGGATGATCACCACCTCGCGTCACGAAATCCGTAGATCGCGCGGCAGCACCTCGCGTTCGATTTCGGTATTGCTTCCGCTCCCTGCCACTTCCGTCGAAGTTCCCGCCGCATCGACGAGAACGAGAAATTGCACTACACTGTGAGAACAAAGGTATGTATATATCAATATGTATACTGACGAGAGTCGTTGGAAATCGATGATGATACGACGACAAAGACTAAACCCTGGTTTTTCTTAAATTGTGTGTGTGGATCGGCAGTAAAAATACGCTCAAATAATGCGTAAATTATTCTAACAACTTCCTAAGTCTCCTCTGTGTGAAATCTTTATGCCGTCTTGTATTCCTGAACACAGTGCATGTGGTCGAATTCAAGGAATTTGCGTGTCTTCGATAAAGAGAGAGTCTGTCGCGTCAAGTTTATTAAATCGCTAAGAACGGATCGAAGCGGCTTTATCGCTCGCACGAACACTTCGTGGCTGATACGATCGGCGGGATTGCAATTCGCGTCCATGTATTTCTTCGATGTATTACACGATCTCGACGGGAGCACGTGCGTTTTAAAGCGAATCGGGTGTTTTGAAACTGGTCATCCGCGAACGCGTTTGTTCGCCGTCGTTTACAGTACAAAGAGGTAAATTTTGTACAAGTTTGTCCACTTCTCGCAAATCTTGTCACGTATCCAATGTATTCCTAGCGTGGGCACATATTTATCGTTTCTTATGATAGAGAACGTGTGATGATTCCACGTTAATCCATCTCCTCTTCCTATTCATCTCCGGTTTGAATACGCTTTCTCCTTGCGATTATCCTTCATTTAAGCCTCGCGTATCCTTGCTGCTCCTTTTGGCCTTGCCAAGTTTTCCGTTCGGCGAGTTCATTTATCTAGCATCTTCTCGCCCACTTTCCCCTCAACATCAATCTCAACTCTGCCAAATATCTTCCTTTTTCCTTTTCACCAAGATTCCTCCACTTTACTGCTTCCGATTCTAAATCTTCCACAATCGATTTTTCTACCGTTAACGCTCTATATATACCAGTATGTGTTTTCTTTATTTCCTTCGGGAATACCTGTGTAATTGTCTTCCTCCGACAATTCTATCCAATTTTCTAACGTCTCTCCTTTTCCTTTCTTTTACACTCTACGTTTTAAGCCTGCAAGGTAGTCTTCATTATATATCGTCTTATTAGTGTCTATCCATTTACTACTAAGTTTTTCTTTGCTTTTATGTCTAGTATTATCAGATTTCCATTTTACATTTTAATTAGCTGCATACACATTTTGTCCTCTTTATTCTCTCTATCCTTTTCCCACCTTTCTCCTCACTTATGATTTCTTTCTCTCTTAAGATTAGTATATATTCATTAAACGTACAAATGATGTCATTTCATTGTTTCACGATAATAACTCCAGCTTCCCCTCTTCAGAATCTTGTTAGGCTCGTTAATTCCTCGCAAATTTTAATACGGCGTATCTTTACTCACGTACCTGTCATTTTTGTATCGCTTGTCCCTTTAATTATTCAAGACTTTCATCAATTCACTTCACTTCTTCACAAAGTTTGCGAGTGTGCGAACAATCACGGCTCCTTAAACATCTTCAGATTTCTCGATATCCGGAACATTAACTGCAAGCATACGACTGCGATATTTTTTATTTATCGAGCGGGACGATCGATTGATCTCATTTATGGCGAACACTGGCGCGACAACGAGTGACAGATCGAGAGGAAATCGAAGACGCGCGAGACGATTTAGAATGTCGGTGGATCGACATTTAATATATGAAGTGGCAAATGAAGCTCTCGGGCCGTCGCTTCGTTGGTACGAACGTGTTAAGTATAATTTTATACTAGAGAGCACGAGATATCTATTCGCGTTTCGCAAGTTTTGTGGATTGTGCTTCAATGCTGTATCTATATATATATATATATATATATATTCAATTTTTATATATTTCAAATTCAAAAATATTTGTTATTGGATAGCACATACAATTTTTTATCGCAACAGACTTTTTAAAAATGAAATAAACGCGAGGAACAAAATATATCAAATTTATGCTTTATTTTTTATTTATGTGTTTGCATATTATCTGTGTATTCTTTGAAAGCACTTGATAAAACCACTGTGTTTCTTTTTCAAAGATACAGGTATATTGTATACATCAATAATAATTGTTGAATAAATTTTGTAATTTTATCTGTTCTATTACTTATCAATTAAATAAAATCGATTCAAAAAATTAATTTTTAAACAAAAGTAAAGCAATGTATTTAATCAGAAAAGAATAAAGGTACTTTTAATGAGCTCACACGAAATATATTTACAAAAATAATACACTGTTATTTCACTTTTAAGTCACATTTTTGTTCTTGAAAGGATATTTTCGATATGAGTTCAATTATTGCAAAAATTTCCAAAGTTTCATCAATGTCGAATGGCGTATCACTTCAATTAGCTTAATAACGGTATCAAACTGGATCAATTACGGAGCAGGGACAAAAGAGAAAATCTTAGCCAACAAATCTCACGGAGTTAGACGTGGAACGACTTCGAGCGGAAGAGATGAAAGAATTTTCGAAGAAACGAGAATGACGAGGCGGAATTCTGGCAACACTGATATAGGAATTTTGAAGGATCTAGAGGCGACCACAAACTCATCTGCGTCATTGCTCTCCGCAATTCGGAAAGAGTATTAAAGGAACGTGGAAAGCGAACGATATTGAGGATGTACAAAGCGAGAGAGCAACCAACGATAAGTAGATGAAAGCGTAATAAGGCAGCCGGGTGTAACAGGAAAGGAGCAAGACTTTCCTATGCGCTAGTCCTGTTGGGATTGTACATTGGTAGTAACTTTACGTCAAGTTGTCTGTCCTCGTGAAACGCCAAGCTATCTCGGCGTTGATAAATATCGTCGATAAAGTTGAGCGACAGAACGTATAAAAAGCACGCATTGGATATAACACGGATAACTTAAATGGCTTTCGAAGTTTCCGATGCAAAAAGTGTAAGTAGCGCCTCGCCAAAGCGAAAGTCCACCACGGGTGTAGTATGATGCTAGTAAATGTCGAGACCCTTATTGCTCGACTTTTATAACCGCATGCTAGCTAAAAGTAGATAGATATATATCTACTATCTAGCATGTTCGCGTGTAACTGTATTGATTTGAATTTTATGGGAAAAACTTTTGATTATTTATGCGATTGTTAAAATGTAAATGCATAATTTTGTTTTCTGAATTAATATGAATAACAAAATAAAAATCAATAAATTTGTATTTCTATAATATTTACTTGATTATCGTACGCATTTGTAATTTTAAAAAAATATATATTTCCTTAAACTATTTAAAAAATTTAAAAATATTCGTTCATATTCTACAAAGAAGTGCTTGACACCAACGTCAAATTTAATCTAATTTTTTAGTCTAAATAATAATTACATTACGATAATTATCAGCTTAATAGTAATATTATGATAAGGGTTGATGAAGAATGTATCTGTTACATCGTCAACATAGGATAAGCATCAGGCAGCTAAATTTAAAAAATTTAAAAATATTCGTTCATATTCTATAAAGAAGTGCTTGACACCAACGTCAAATTTGATCTAATTTTTTAGTCTAAATAATAATTACATTACGATAATTATCAGCTTAATAGTAATATTGTGATAAGGGTTGATGAAGAATGTATCTGTTACATCGTCAACATAGGATAAGCATCAGGCAGCTATATTTAACGATAAATATTGGTAGAAGTGCTGATTTTCGCACTTATTGAAAAACCTTGAAATAATGAAACAAAATCGTGCAATTTAACTATTAACGATGTCATGCCATAGTTTCTTCGCGAGAAACGGTAGGGTGCAATAAAGACAGCGACACGTTAGCGAGATAAGCGTTATCGCTAGAATTTAGAATCGATGGAGAGAATGAGACCCAAGGGAATTATACGAACGATGGACAAATCGAACCACAGCAAATCCGAAATTGATCTAATCACGGTAGCTTGTCGTCGCAGTATTTTGTAACGTAATTTTTCACACAGAAGATCGAAAAAGCTTTGGAATATTTTATTATAAATTTTTACTGTTCGTTGGATATTCAGAATTATTTTTCATCAGAAGATCGAGTGGACGATAAATTAGATATTGTGTCATAAAAAATATACACGTTAGTTTGAAACAGCATTACAATCTAAACATCTAGCGGACTAAACTCCTGACCTTTCTTTTATCTATAGATTCTTCGATAAAGAGAGAATATCGATGTTTTCTTAGTATTTCATTGAATATCAACTTTTTTCGCAATCTTTTAACGTTGGACTTAATTAACAAACATATCATTCTCTTTATTTTAATTTCTAATTCTCTTATATAGTGCATCGATTTAAATTACATCGTGAAATTTTTAATAATTTTAAAATTTATCAATTTTTTTGATGTTTTTTGAAATAAAAATTCAATCAAAGAATCTATCTAGTAAAAAAACGAATTAGTCAAAAAATTGATAAAAACATGAAATACAGAAGACACGCCAAATTATGTATATTACGTTTTCGTGCCGCGTGTATTAACGCGAGATATTAATAATATAATATAAATATATATCTATGTGTACGCTTTTAAATCAAATTACATGATTTATACAAACAGACCGCAGCCGTCGAGTATAACATGATTGCTATCAAGTAAACATCCAACTTCAAATTACTGGCAATATATGCTATCAAGTAAACATCCATCGTTAAATTACTTGCAATACGTTTCGGAAAAAGCGTCATATCGTTTCACGCCGGTTTCGCAAATGCTACCTCGTTGGATTACCGCCAACGTGAGAAATATCGGTCGATTCCATTCAGCCTTGAACGCATTTATACCGAAGAATCAAGTGAAGAACAAACAAACGTGTCACTATATTGAAAGATAAACAGCTTATGGGGTGAAATCCACTTCCGCTCGCGAATAACTGCGAATTCCCGTCACGCGTCCCCAACGATGCGAAGCGCCAGCACGTTGTCGCGATATATCACTGAACTCGCGCCTCTATCAATTTCCTTTGCGGGACAACGTTATCTATATTCCAACATTCCGTTTCGTCGAGGATCAGCGCGACTGGATTGCGAAACGATTTGCAGAGCGGCCGGAGAAGTAAAAAAAACCGTGGTGAGA